GTGTGTGTGTGTGTGTGTGTGCGTGCGTGTGTGCGTGTGTGCGTGTGTGTGTGTGCGTGTGTGCGTGCGTGTGTGTCTTTCAGTGCAAGTATGTGTGTGTGTGTGTGTGTGTGTGTGCGTGTATATATATTGGAGTCTATGTGTGTGTTAGTAAGCTCGTTAAGTGTGTTTGTCTGTGTGTGTGTTTGTGTGTGTGATGGAGTATCTTGTGTGTGTGTTTCAGGCTGAGGGAACACAACCGTCTGCAGGGAGCCGCCCTCAGCAAACACAACGTCTGATAAACACAGCTCATGTGTGTGTGTGATTGGAGGATCAGCAATACACACGTATAATCACACATACAGGGAACGTTGTCACAACGTTCACACAAGGTTTCCTCAACGTTATGAACACAACTCTTTCAGTAACAGCAGCACATTGAAGATTATAGTGGATCCCTGTATAGTGCACTCACTGAACAGCTCATTACAAGACCAGCAACAATCATTCAGTCATTCCCCATCAGCTTAGACCTTTATTCATCAGGGGTCGCCACAGCGGAATGAACCGCTAACTACACACCCATACACACTCATTCTCACTCACTCACTCATACACTACGGCCAGTTTAGTTGATCAGTTCCCCTATAGCGCATGTGTTTGGACTGCGGGGGATTCCAGAGCACCTGGAGGGAACCCACGCCAACACAGGAAGAACATGCAAACTCCACACAGAAACACAAACTGACCCAGCTGAGGCTCAAACCAGCGATCTTCTTGCTTTGAGGCGAGAGTGCTTACCACTGAGCCACCATGTCGTCTTACTTTTAAACCTTTATAACTTCACTACATAACTATAATGTAGTCATTGAAGTGTCCATATATGGAATATATATAATTGGTCGTTAATTCTGTAGCGCTTTTTACAGTGTAGACCGTCAGAGCAGTTTAACAAGGATGAAGAATACAGAGAATAAAAGCACAGGAGGTCAATAAAAGCTCAAACTCCACCACTTGTCTTAGAATAGTAAGAACAATGTTGAAAATTAACATTCCTTTAATGTTTTTAAAGGTCCTGTGAAATTAAATTGACGTTTTTTTAAATGTTAGTATCAATATGTTAATTTAAAGCATATCCATAATCTAGTGTGCTCTAAGATTCACATGTAGAAGATATAAACCTGATATAAACATCTAAAGCTTGCAGTTTGTTTCTCGTAAAATTTTCTGACCAATCAAATGGTCTTTTGTGTGTGACAAGCCCCGCCCCTTCTTCTTATTGGCTATTCATTTAAAGCGCTTGAGCTCAATCGCTTTTACTGGCTGAGCTGAGGAAAGACAGCACTATTGGCTGTTTTTAAAAAGGGGAGGGGCTTCTATATGCCCCGCCCCCTCTCTTTGTTTTAGTTGAACTTGTCAAATAAAAGCGCACATTTCAAAGCACTTCGAGACCTTTAAATTAGTAAAAAGTGGCATTTAATTGAACGAACTGTACTCTAAGTTAATATTCATTCATTCATTCATTTTTTTGTCGGCATAGTCCCTTTATTAATCCGGGGTCACCACAGCGGAATGAACCGTCAACTTATCCAGCAAGTTTTTACGCAGCGAATGCCCTTCCAGCTGCAACCCATCACCGGGAAACACCCACACACACATTCACACACACACTCATACACTACGGAACAATTTAGCCTACCCAATTCCCCTGTACTGCATGTGTTTGGACTGTGGGGGAAACCGGAGCACCCGGAGGAAACCCACACAAAGGCAGGGAGAACATGCAAACTCCACACAGAAACGCCAACTGAGCCGAGATTCGAACCAGTGACCCAGCGACCTTCTTGCTGTGAGGCGACAGCACTACCTACTGCGCCACTGCCTCGCCCTAAGTTATTATTTCTCCAAAATATGCTTAAATGTGCTATCCGCTATTGTCGTCATACTTCAGTTTCTCATCAAATCATCTGACCTATCGGATGTTCTCTGGTGTTAGACATGCCCCGCCCCCTTCTTCTCATTGGCTGTTCATTTGATGCACTTGAGCTTAACCACTCTCACCGGCAGAGCTGTGAGAAATCTGAACGCTGTTGGCTGATTTTTGAATAAGTGAGGAGCTACTGTATGCCCCGCCCTCTCCATGTTTCAGTTTAAATTACGTCAAACATCCAATAAAAAGTGCACATTTCAAAGCACTTCCAGACCTTTAAAATAATAAAATGTGGCGTTTAATAAAGCAAACTATACTCTTTTAGTTATTGTTTCTTCAAAATATGCTTAATTTGTGTTATCCGTGTCATGATTTCTGAACAGATGTGATCATATAATTATCTTTTATGATGCTGAACCCCAAGGAAACCTTCGCTGAATGTTGTGAAAAGGTTCTCTTAAAGTTATGAGTGAATATTCTTCCAGTATCATTAACTCAGTGTTCTGAAATGTTCTGAAATGTTCAGAGAAGATTGAAATGTAACATTCCTGTAATGTTTTCAGAATAATAAAGCGTAATGTGTGATCTAAAGTGCACCTTATTTGTTGTTATTCCACAAAATAAAAGGTAAACAATGAGAAATGTCAAAAAAAAAAAACACAATGTAAACAGTAAACAATGTGTCTCCATATGCGTTTTTATTTATAAGCAAATTCTGCCAAATGAGGTGGATATTTAAAATCACCAAAACAAACACACCCATAACTCAACAGGCCACGCCCCCTTTTGAATATCTGTGCTTAATTGGTGAAGAGACAGCCTCCTTAAGGCTGATTGGCTGCAAGTGTGTTTTCAAGCTTTAACTATAGGAACCTTAACTGAATGTTCATCAGCCAATCAGAATCAAGCGTTCAGCAGACCTGTGGTGCATTCACTTTTTTCCTTCTTATAGTTTTTTATATTCTTATAGTGAACAGAAATTTGGAAACTCTTAAAAGTTTTAGTAAAACGGTACAAGCGCGCTCGTGCTCAATCTGCAGTGAGTTCATATTATTAACCTTGTATATGCATGTCAGATTTAAGTTTTAATTTGTGTCAGCCTAATGTGTGATTTATAATCATGTGTTTGACTTTAATGTTTAATCTGCATCGGAAAGTCATCTGCAGGTGGGGTCAGTAAAATAAATAACCTTGCTTTTGGTTTGAAATCAGTTTATTTGGCTTCCCTCATTGGCAGATTATTAAGCTTGCTTTAAGGGAAAACTCACTTCATTTTGTTTCTGAAAACATTCTTTGTTTTGCTTGTCTAAAAATGCTTCTTGCTTCAAGACTTGTTTGCCGTTTGGACTAGAAACAAGACTCAGAGCGTTTTTGTGCAGTGTATACAGACTTATATTGATCGGAAAGTTAGACATCAGGTCAGTGACGTTTTAATTTGTCATGATTTCTCTTTAACTTGATTGTTTGTTTTTATTTATTTGATTGTTAGTAAGTTGGTTATTTTCACAACAAAACATTTAGAGAAGAATGAGAAGTTTAAAAACCCCTTATAAGCAAAAATACACTGCAGGCTGTGACGTTTACCGATATGGAGCAGACCCTGGAGCCAGGCCTGGGGTTGGGGCTTGTATGTGTTCCTATCTCTCACGGCCCATTCACACGGGGCATCAACTTCAATGCTTCCCATTCACTTTGAATGGGTTACGTCAAGTGTTGCCAAACTGCATTGTGGATCCGTCAGCGCCACTACAGTGGTGTTGCTCGCTGCAGAAGTTGGTCAACCTTTCAAGCACCAATAAAATCGTCAGCTAATATACCACAGCATATACCACAGCTCAGACAGTAGCTGATTGCAGACTAATTTCATTGGCTGACGCTGCTATGACTATCGTGTCAGCCTCAACTTCAGACACATCTTCAGTCAAGCGTTGACGCCGAAGCCCCGTGTGAATGGGGAGTCAGAATCCGGCCGGGCTCAGCCCGAAGGATCGACGTGGGACCATCCTCCTGCTGGCACCACCACCTGCAGGGAGAACCATAATGGGCTGGTGCATTATGGAACAAGTGTGGTTGAAGGTTAGGACCACGACAACCCGATCGTCAGTCCCAGAAACTGGCTCTTGGAACTTCAATTGACGACTGTTCCATTTATCCCTCTAAACAGGTTAAGAGTCTGGGTGTCATCCTTGATAGCACCCTATAACGTCACCCGGTCTGCTTAATTCCACCTACGCAACATTAACCGTCTCCGCCCTTCTCTTACCCCTCATGCCACTGCTGTTCTCCTTCATAGCCTTGTCACATCTCGTTTAGATTACCTCAACTCTCTTCTCTTTGGTCTCACTCATAAATCTCTCCGTAAGCTTCCGTTGGTCCAGAACTCAGCTGCCCGTATCATCACCAGAACCCCTTCTTCTCATCACATCACCCCTGTCCTGCAGCAGCTTCACTGGTTACCTGTTCATTTTCCAATTGACTTTAAAATCTTGATGTTAACATTCAAAGCCATCCACAGTCTCGCCCCTCCATATTTCTCTGCCTTCATCCACATTTCTGTTCCTTCTCGCACCCTGCGATCTTCTTCCTCCCTCCACTTGTCTGGTTCCTCTTCTCGCCTTTCAACTATGGGCAACAGAGCATTCAGCCGCTCTGCTCCGCGGCTTTGGAACTCACTACCACCTGCCATCAGAAACATCGACTCCCTCAAAACCCACTTATTCAAGATGACTTTTAATCCTTAATTTTATTTGCACTATTGCTGTGTATATTTTATTATTTCTCTTGTTGTTTTATTGCTCTTGTTGATTGTACAGTGTCCTTGAGTTGCTAGAAAGGTGTCTTTAAATAAAATGTATTATTATTATTATTATTATTCTGTAATATCACCTCACTGGGTGTGAAAGAGCCCAAGCTTGTGCGGGAGGTTGAACTGTATCGACTAGAGCACAGGCGTCAAACTCAGTTCCTGAAGGGCCGCAGCTCTGCACAGTTTAGTTTCAAATTCTAATTAAACACCTGATCAAACTGATTCCTTATAGGCTTGTTTGAATCTTACAGGTAAGTGTGTTGAAGCAGGGTTGAACTAAACTGTGCAGGGCTGCTGCCCTCTTGGTACTAAGTTTGGTTGGACTAAAGATAGTCGGGCTTACCTGCATGCACAGCTTGGGCTCTGGAACTCAACTCCTTGAGAAGGGCTGGACAATGCAGATTTTGTCCAGGCTGTGGCACACTGGACAAAATCCAACCCAAGCTCATTCTGGAAATGTAGCCCCACGGACGTTTCTGGAGTCCGCGATTTACTGCCGCGTTTAGTTTTTTCCGAGCGAACACTGCGGGGCGGTGTGGCGCCGCTCCTCCTCTTCGCACTCACCGGCCGACGGCTTGCCTCCGAGTGGAGGGCTTTCCCGATGCAATCAGTTTGTCCGCTTAGCTCACAGCGTTGCGTTGGCGGAGCAGAGGCCCCGGAGGAGGAGGAGGAGCCAGCCGCGGGGACGACGACCAGGATCGAGTCCGGGGAACAGCGGTTCCAGAAATCAGGTGAGATGAAAAACAGAATCCGAAAAATAAGGGCGAGAATGCGGTGGGATCCGAAAACGCGGTCGAAATCGAAGACGAGGGCTTTTGCTTTTTTTTTCTGGGCGGCGTTTGCAAACCGTCGCTTGGGTTTAGGGAAGGAGGAGGAGGAGGGCGGCCGGGTCGGCCGAACCGGCGGCTTTTTGCGCGAGAACAGCGCGGGCGCGAACGGCGCGCGCTCCCGAGAGGCGCCCGAGACGAGAAAAAGCGCGCACAGCGGCCTCTCGCGGATCCGCGAAAACAAAAACCTCTCGAATACGTACCTCCCGGGACGTATCTCGCGGTCCACAAAAACGCCCGCGGGGCTACGTTTCCACAATGAGCCCGGTTTGACAAAATCTATACTCTCACTAGGATGCTCAAGGGTTCATGAGAGCATGCCCAGCCAGTCCACGTGTGTTTTGTGGACTTGGAGAAGGCATTTGACCATGTGCCTTGTCCAGTTCGGGGAGCACAGGATTTCATCTCTGTTTTTCGCAGATGATGTTGTTCTGTTGGCTTCCTCAGACATGGACCTTCAGCATGCACTGGGGAGGTTTGCTGTAGAGTGTGACGGAGCTGGGATGAGAATCAGCACCTCCAAGTCTGAGGCCATGGTGCTACAGTGGAAGACGGTGGTTTGTCATCTCCAGGTTGGAGGAAAGTCTTTACCCCAGGTGGAGGAGTTCAGGTATCTCTGGGTTTTGTTTACGAGTGAGGGAAGATGGAGTGTGAGATAGACAGGCAGATCAGTGCAGCGGTAATGTGGTTGATGTATCGGTCTGTTGTGGAGAAGAAGGAGCTGAGCCGATCAATCTACGGTCCGACTCTCACCTATGGTCATGAGCTGTGGGTCATAAATAAAAGGACAAGATCTCAGATACAAGCGGCTGAAATGAGTTTCCTTCACAGGGTGGAAGACGCACCCTTATAGACAGGGTGAGGAGCTCTGACACCCGGCAGGAGCTCAGAGTAGAGCCACTTCACATCAAGAGAAGTCAGCTGAGGTGGTTTGGGGATCTGTTTCAGATGCCTCCTGGACGCCTGCCTATGGAGGTGTTTCAGGCATGTCATTACCAGGAAGAAGCCTCAGGGAAGACCCAGGACACGATGGAGGGACTGACCCGGGAAAAGACTTGGGATCTCCTCGGAGGCGCTGGAGAAAGTGTCTGGGCAGAGGGAAGTCTAGGGTTCTTTCATGAGACTGCTGCCCCCGTAGCCTGGCCCAGAAGAATTCAATTCAGCTTTATTTGTATAGCGCTTTTACAATGTAGATTGTGTCAAAGCAGCTTCACATAAATGGTCATAGTAACTGGATCAGGGTAGTTCCGTTTTTAGTGTTTAAGTTCAGTTCAGTTTAGCTCAGTTCAGTGTGGTTTAAATCATTACTGAGAGTCCAAACACTGAAGAGCAAATTCATCGATGCGTAGCTCTACAGATCCTAAACCATGCAAGCCAGTGGCGACAGCGGAGAGGGAAAAACTTCACTAATAGTAGAGTGAAGAAAAAAAAACCTTGAGAACCAGACTCAGTTGGGCACGACCATTTTAATTTCTCCGCTGGCCAAAAGTCTTGTGCAGAGCTTCAGTCACCGCGGTGGAGGCTGGAAGATGGCCTCAGCGAAGACTCGTCTGTCCCTGGAGCGTCGCTGGAATCAGACTCATGCTCTCCACTCCCCCATGACCAACAGCGCAGCAGCAGCTCAGGATACGGCCTGGTCCCGGATATGGACACCTTGGGATCATCTCATTGCTGGTCTTGAATCAAATCAGTGACTCTGCATAATCTGAGGACCTCGGGATGAGTATCCCCAGGTGGAAATAGAGAATAAAGAGAATAATTAGTGTAGCTGCTGTTCATAGTGTATATAAACAAGATGCAGAGACCTGTCTGGAAACCCGCTAGGTGATGCATTGAGTGTATGCTTTACTAAACAGACAGGTCTTTAATCTAGTGTTGAACTGAGAGAGTGTGTCTGAGCCTCGGACGTTATCAGGAAGGCTATTTAATAAGAGGAGGAAGATGAACAAATCAGAATT